AAGAGAAATTTAAGAGCGACAATATACCATTGGTAATATTGCAGTAAAAGACTACTCATAAAAAAATATCTATCAATATATAGTATCATGCAACAATCACATAAAAAGAACTTGACTAGATTTATATAAAAGTTGACAATAAAATATATCAATATGAGAAATTAGAAGAAGATAGAAGAAAATTAATCACTCAAATATATAAACTTTGAAGAATAAATGGATAATCAAAATCCACTCAAGATCACTTCACATATAGGTTTCTCTCTAACCTCACCAAAGAGAAAAATATGTCTAAACTTAGGCTAAAAATTAACCCCTAATACCTCTAACAAAGCTCTAATTTATAGAGTCTTTGAGGATGTCAAAAAGCACTAAGCAAATAAACACAAATAAGGGGACGTTTTACCCAAATAAATTGGATTTACAAGGCTTTAATCTGAGAGTGAATGCTGAAACATCCAACGGAACCAAAACGGATCACTAGTTGAAGAATCCCAAACGGGTGGGACACGTGTTGCGCGAAGAGAGAAGAAACGTTGCTCTGCCTTGGACACGTGGCGCGCTATGGGAGGAAAATGCTGCACGCGGGACCCACGCAGAAGAATAGAGACGCTCGCGTGGAAGGAACTCGCCCGGGGAGGAGGGCCGTGCGCGCCAAGCGCGCGTGTGTGCGGGGATAGCTGGGTCCCACGCGGCAGAAGCGTGCCAGAAAATGACACGTGGCAACGATGGGGCTTGCGTGGCTCGGCTCGGCTGGCGGACGGCTGTTGATGGGCTTCATTTTCTTTTTTCTTTTGTTTTTGGCCCAAATGTCTTATTTCCCTACAAAACAAATTAAATTAAATTAAAATCAAATACTTCCACAAAATATTAATTCCACAAAAATATTTAATTAAAACTTAATTTATTTAGCAATTATAAACAATTTAAATGCATTTTCATGCACTTATCAGAGCCCAAACCTCAGCTCAGCCCAGCTCCCTTCAATCCACAAAGCTGGTCACAACTTATCCTGATGCATCTCAGAGCCGCCCTAGCTTTGCACCTCAGAACCGACCTAGCTTCCTCCAATCCACAAATCTGGTCACAGCTTATCCAGATGCATCTACGAGCTTTTCGCCCAGCACACTCTCGGTGGATCAAGTGCAGTAACTCATCGCCTACCTCAGCTTATAGTTCCAACATCAGATCGACGACTCACCTGAAATTCCAGCTACAAACAGTCCTTCTATCTCTCACGTTCTAGGTGGTAATCCCTCATCCCTTTCTATTTCGCATTTCACTGTGAATCGTGGTGCTTGGATTATGGATACAGGTGCAACCCACCATGTTTGTTGTGACCTTTCTCAATTTTATCACTCTAGCCCTATTCACGGTATCACAGTAACTCTTCCTAACGGTCACGCTGTTGAAATCACTCGAATAAGGTTTGTTAAGCTGTCATCCACTCTCATCCTACATGTTGTCTTATTCGTTCCTAAATTTGCATTTAATCTGCTCATCGTTAGTTCACTCACTCGAACTCATCACTGTTGTGCTAATTTTTTTTCCGATTCATGTGTAATTCATGACCTCATTCAGGATTGGACGATTGGGAAGGGTAGAAGACAAAATAATCTTTACTTTCTAGAGCTAGGAAATAAGATATGTTATTCATTTTCTTCTTGTTCTGCTTTATCAAAATCTGATGTTTGGCATTGTCGCCTTGGACACCCATCCTCTGTAAAACTTCAGATCCTACATAATGAATTACATATTCCTAACTCTTTGTCTCATCTGTATTCTCATTGCCAAATTTGTCACATGGCAAAGCAAAAACGTCTCCCTTTTATTTCCAATAATAATATGTCTGCACAACCATTTGATTTGGTTCATATTGACATTTGGGGTCCATTTCATATTAACACAACAGCTGGCCATATATATTTTCTCACTATTGTTGATGATTGTACACGTGCAACTTGGGTGTACCTTTTATGTGCAAAATCAGATGTTCTCAATGTTTTTCCTGATTTTTTTAACATGGTTTCCACTCAATACAGCACTTGCATTAAGTCTGTTAGGTCTGATAATGCTCCAGAGCTTTCCTTCCGTGATTTTTTTCGGTCTAAAGGAATTCTCCCTCATGTGTTGAGACACCAGAGCAAAATTCAGTAGTTGAACGAAAACACCAGCATCTGCTGAATGCAGCTCGTGCACTATTTTTTCAGTCTCACGTTCCATTATGTTACTGGGGAGATTGTGTTCTCACTGCTGTATATTTGATCAATCGCACACCATCACCACTATTAGCCAATAAGACACCCTTTGAATTGTTACACCACAAAAGGCCTTCCTATAGTCACCTTCGCACTTTTGGATGTTTGTGTTATGGATCTACTCTTCCTAGTCAATGTCACAAATTCACTCCTCGTGCTCGAGCTTCGGTGTTCCTTGGTTATCCGTTTGGTGTCAAAGGATATAAACTTTTTGACCTAGAGAGCAACAAAATATATATCTCCAGAAATATTGTTTTTCATGAATCCATTTTTCATTTGCTAGCTCTCCAATTTCAGATGAAGTTGTTTCCTTCTTTAGTGACCGTGTTCTTCCCAAAAGTGTCCCACCGGTGTCTGACACAGTCCAACATCACAATCAGCCCAATTCAGTAAATCAGCTTGACTCAGCATGTCCATCTTCTCTTGTTCCTTCTCGTCAAACTCGTATCACCAAGAGACTGTCCTATTTGTCTGATTACCATTGCTATCTAGTCTCACAACCCTCATCAAACTCGTCCCTTTTAGGTTCCCCACCTGTTTTGTATCCTATCTCATCATTCTTAAGTTACCACAAATTGTCCCAACCTCACCGTACCTTTATGTTAGCAATATCTTCACAAAGTGAACTCCATACTTTTTCTCAAGCTATTAAGTCTCAGAAATGAATGGATGCTATGGATGTTGAGCTACAAGCTTTGGAAAGCAATCATACTTGGTCCATTTGTTCATTACCCGCTGGCAAACATTCAGTTGGTTGCAAGTGGGTGTATAAGGTAAAACACTGAGCAGATGGGACAGTGGAGAGGCATAAAGCTCAACTTGTCGCCAAGGGTTTCACACAACAAGAAGGTATTGATTTCCTTGATACTTTCTCTCTAGTAGCGAAGCTTGTCACTGTCAAACTTCTATTATCTTTGGCTGCTGTTTGTAATTGGTCTCTTACTCAACTTGATGTCACTAATGCATTTCTCCATGGGGATCTTGATGAGGAAGTTTACATGGACCTTCCCCCTAGATATTCATTAGGAAAGGGGGAGACTCTACTTCCTAATGCTGTCTGCCGGTTGCATAAATCCATATATGGCTTGAAGCAAGCCTCACGACAGTGGTTTCACAAATTCTCTAGTGCTCTGTCATCTGAAGGCTTCATCAATCCGCTAGTGATCATTCCTTATTCACAAAACGGATTGGCACGTCCTTCTTGGCACTCCTAGTCTACGTAGATGACATTGTCATTGCAAGCAATGATCCAGATGTTGTTAATAACCTGAAATCAGCTCTTTGCAAATGGTTCAAGATGAAGGACCTCGGCCCCCTCAAATATTTATTGGGTCTGGAAATCGCTCGTTCAACTGCAAGGATTTCAATTTTTCAACGCAACTATGCCTTGGAGTTACTCTCTAAAGTTGGTTATTTGGGGTGCAAACCTGTGAACATTCCTATGGCAACCAATCTGAAGCTCTCCAAAGATGAAGGAGAGTTGATCACTGATCCAACAACCTACCGACAAATTGGGAAGTTGTTGTATCTCACCATTACACGGCCAGATATTAGCTTTTTAGTAAATCGTCTCAATCAGTTTTTGGCAGCCCCACGTACTTCACATCTCCAATCAGTTTTTCGGATCTTGCAATACATTAAACGGACCCCGGGCGAAGGTCTTTTCTTTTCCTCTAATTATACACCACATCTCAAGGCATTTGCAGACTCAGATTGGACTCAGTGCCTCGATACCAGGCGTTCCATCTCTGGTTTTGTGTCTTTTTAGGTTCCTCTCTCATCTCTTGGAAGTCCAAAAAATAGCCTACGGTCTTGCGCTCATCTTCAGAAGCGGAGTACCGGTGCATGGCCAACGTCACATGTGAAATTGTTTGGTTACTTGCCCTTCTTAAAGACTTGTAGGTGAATCACCTTGCTCCAACTCTCCTTTTTTGTGATAATCAAGCAGCTCTCCACATCGCTGCCAATCCAGTATCCAAGCCGGTGTTTTGAAGACTCTACACGTTTCTACACACAATCAACTTGCAGACATCTTTACCAAGGCCCTTCATCCCTCTCATTTTCATAGTCTTTTAGGCAAGATGGGAGTTCACAACATATACACTCCATCTTAAGGGGGAGTATTAGCATATTAATATTTCTGTTATAACAAACTCATCGTGTAGTGTGCAGCATGTAGTGTGCAACATGTATCGTGGTCAGCGCGTATTGTTATTTTGTTATTCTTTCTGTTTTTGTTAGCTGAGCTGTCTTCTTTGAGGTGTGTGACCTCTTCTCAGTGTAAAGGCAACTTGCCTATATATTCTGTTCTTGGCTCCATTTACGATTAATGAAGAGAATTATCATTTCCTCATTCTCTCATTCTATTAATACTCTATCTATTGTGTATAAAAGAGAGAAAAATCATCTCTCTACCAAATTAAAATAATACTCATATCTATTATATTATAAATATACTATAAATCGTTACGTGAGAGCCACGTTTAATGGATTGAGTTCTAGGTTCAAATCCTATAAAATGCAATAAATATGTGCATATATATGTTATAAAACTCTCCTTTAATTTACTTGGCTCAATATGTCAACTTCAAACGCCTTGCTCGTCTCTTTCCCTTTTTTTTTTCACACCTTTGGCATGAGCATGAAGAATAGCATTCAATCGGCTAAAAGCACAATGCAACACCAATTGAAAGACAAACCATAAAGGAAAAATAAATAAATAAAAAAAGAATGACATGGCTAGATGAGACGAATCTTTTATTGCTCATTCATAAATACAGTTTATACACAAAAGAAATGGCTTTCTTTGGCTTGCGAGCAATGTTCTTAATCCCAATTTTCTTCCCAGTGAATTTAACGACTTTAGAATCGTATCAGTATCAAGTTCTTGTGCATCAATCTTGGCCAAGGTTTTCATAAACATTTTATGAGAACTCTTTCGTAGAGTTTAAAAAGAACTTGCTCACGTTATTGGAGTGGAAAAAATGCTGGTAACGATACTCCGAGGCCTTCCAATATGATCCTTTTCCATTGGAAGTTCTGACGAACCGTTGCGCCGAATTTGATGAGGGAAAAGCATGTTAATGTATTTGCTTTTGCAGATCAAGGTCAAAATTTGAGGTTGTTCCTCAAGTAGACCACCACTTCTTGCTGCAAAAGTAAAGAAAGAGAGAGGTCAGCTATCCCTCAGGAAAATAAGAAAACTTTTCAGTCTTGCCACTAAAAAGTTGAAGGTGATAATTTAGTAGTGTTTTTATCACCGTAGAATATCTAAGCCTTTTTCTCTCGTATTGATTTTTGGCACCACCAAAGTGCTAATTGGAATTTGTAGTGCTGGTACGATAGATGGATCTTATGCATTAATTGTGGGTAGTGCTGCTAGCACTACCGATGCCCTCTTCTAAATACTAAAAGCATCATCCATGTGTTAGTTTTGTGGCATCACTATTATTGGGGGTATTTACAGGCCATCAGAGACTAGTCAGTAATAATGGCAGGTTTCGAAGTGCAGAGCTCAGGTTCGAACTTGGAAGATCAGACAATATCCTGAATGAGCAGAGTTTGTACGGTCAAACTCAACGTTGCTTGGTGCTCGTTTTAAATGTGGCGAAAATACCGTCCAAGACCTAACATGAGACCTGCATTTTCCTTGTACTTTAAGGCATGTGGCTACGTATAGCTAAAAAAAAACTTCAAAAAAGTGGCTACTAATACAGTTCTAAGATTAATTAGAAAAAGTGGCTTCTTGACGTAGTGTTATAGCTAGAAAAATTTATAGCACTACATGAAAAAAAAAAAACTTCAGTTCTAAGATTAATATGTAGCTTCTAGAGATTCAGCAACATACTCCATCTAAATGGATGCATGAACTCATGAACTCAACCTTTTGCCCCCTTAGTTACCAAGTACCTAATCTGCTTTATTATTGTTATAATTTCTTAAAAGTAAAGTGTTCCTTGCAATTTTATATAGCTCGGAGGAAAACATACAATCAAACAGAGGAGAACACAGCCGGCAGCACCCGGGAACAATGCATACCAGAAATTCAAGGAATGCAACTTAGCTCCATCGATGAACAATATCGGCAAGCTGGCAGCTGCATATTGTATAGACCATATAAGTAACTGAGTCATTAGCTTATAAAGAAGCTGAATAAGAAGCCAGAAGGCAGAAAGCAGAAAGCAAATAACTGGCTGTGTCATAAGCACCAAAAGATAAACATTTTTTGGAAGCTAGCGTGTGTATCAGTACTTGATACCTGGTGGATGAGTAGAACGCGTGAAAATCATGAAAGCTATGGAAGCAGCAAGCGCAGAGCTCCTAGCGAGCCATCCCGGACCAAATATAGAGAATGCTAGAACACCGATGGCTGCACAACCGATTTGGGCCATGAACATGTTGTACTTCTGCAGTATGCCAAAAGTGAAAGTTTGGTTAGCCAAATTCATGTCATGGAAACAAACCTAGGAGACAAATTTACTATTTGTGGTACTAAACCGAGTGAACCCCCCATTTGCAAAATTTGTTAACTAAGTGAGCAGAATTAGAAGTTCCTTATCATTGTAGAGTTTGTATTCATATGCTGCAACTGAATTTGATTAGAAATGTATGGTAATATTCTTGAAGAAATGATTCCTGCAATCTTTTTGTATAGGTATTGGGCAATGAAAGTATACATTTGCAGAATTAATTATTTCTTTTGAACTAGGGTGAGGGAGTCGAACTTTAGACCTCAACATTGCAAGCAAGGGTGTGGATTTACGATTAGGCTACGCCTGCAACCACTGTATCATCAGTTATTGAATTGGGGAGGATATTTCAAATCTTATTGCCAAACACATAGGAGCTACTCTTAGCAAGATAGCTAGTATTGCCTTCCTACATACATATCATGGATTCATGGTCAAGACTTGCACTGTCCAAATGAAATATATGTATTACATGAGATTGCAGGCATTGTCTAGTTATATTTTCATATCTGATTGCATTACAACACGTAAAGTTCAAATTTCCCACTTCTAAATTCAAAAAAAAAAAAAAGAAAAAAAAAAGAATCTACTATGGGCCAGAGAGCAAGTACCTTAGCACCAGGGGATGATGGTGTGGCAAATAGGACAGCACAAACAGCCCCTAAGGGCGCAATTGTCATTGAAACTCCTTTGGGTGCCAATATCTGATCCATCTTTCCCAATAACGCCATTGCCGCAAAGGCCCCTATCACAAGTAACATTAGGATTCAATTATTTTTGTCTCCGTTATTACTTTAAGACCAATAATTCGCCAATTCAGCATCAAATCATGGTCAACCGATACAAGTTGAGTCCAACGAATAGGCATGATAGTTGGTGTCAATAACTTTCTCAAATTTTCAAGATTTTTTTGGTTAGATAATTTCATTTCTTAATAAGGTAGGAAAAAAAAAGTTATAATAAGAACACGGTTCTAAACTGTCAAATATACAATAAATTCTGTTAAAATATCATAATTTGTTTTAGGTCTTGTTCCTTTTACTATTTAAGTCAAAACTCAAGTTGTATTACTATAATATTTTCTCTTATAAGAATTCAAATTTAATTTTTTTATTACAGTATTTTTCTTTCACATACACAATTAAAATTCTTAATTTAAATTGTAAAACAAACATACTCTTAATGTAATGTGATATGGCGATAAATTTTATTACTAATAAAATATTTTTCATATCTTACTGTAATTCTTCTACTTTCATATCCCACTCTCACATTCAGGTTAGGTTGGGCCCAACAATGTAGCTAAGAATAAGGTTGCATCATATTATCCACCCAAAGACAATGAGGTTTAGAGGGCGTTTAGTTGATATTTTTAAAATTATTTTTAATTTATATATATTTTTTATGAGAGAAAATATTGTAACGAATCATAATTTAAATTATGATACGAATTTTTAAACCAAACGCACTCTTAATTTGTTTGCATATTCCAATCATGATTTAAATTTTTTTACTACAATATTTTTTTTGGGTGAAAAAAATTTAACTGTTCAAATATATAAACCAAACAGTTAATAATTATTTCATTTTTCTATTACAATTTCTTCTTTTCCAGTTTTTACATTGCAAAATGCAAAAGCAATAATATTTGTATCCAACAATATAAGATTTCAAACCTGCAGAAGGCCAAAGGATGTCGCTAAGGGAAGGAGCGGAGGAAGCCTTTTCAGGCGTCCAACCATCCCAAAACGGCGCCGCTCCGACGTTGCTTGACGCCACAACAATCCCATTTCTTCTTCTCTCTCTTCCTACGACGTCGTTTTTCCCTCCTGTTTTGGCGGTGGTAATCAGACCAAGAGAATTCTTCCTATTGAGCAGAAACGGGCTAGTGGGTGAAGAAAACGACAGCAAGGACGTAGACAACCATGACTGTGATGATGTCGTTTGTGCCAGAGAATAATAGGCTTCGTTAAGGGCGCGAATGTAGTGATTATTACGGGTGGTGCTTCTCAATTGCGCACCCATATTTTTCTTAGATCCACTTCTTCCTTTTTCTCTGGCTTGTTTTTTTTTTTTTGGATAGATTTTTATTCCATTGGAGGATGTTCCTGTAGGTGACAAGGAATCTATTCTTGAATATTGTAGAGAGAGAGAGCTAGAGGAGAGAGAGAGAGAGACAGATGTGTGTGTGAGTGGTACACACTACACACGTGAGGAGTTGGAAATCCAGTTGTGGTTCGTTTGAGGGAGTGGGGCAGTGGGCTTTTCGGGAGTTCCAAAGGTTCTTAGATAATAAACTCTTATTTATTTTTTTAATTTATAATTGAAGATATTGTAAGAGGGTACGAAAAAAAAATTTTTTCTTTTTTTTTTTTTTTTTTTTTTTTTTAAATCTGAGCCCCATAAATTTTTCGTGCTTTGAAAAACCTCCCCTAAGCTTTTAATGTTGGCTACGCCTCGTTCATTTTACCGATTTGAATTTTCAGTTTTAAGTTTTTATAGTAAAAAACTCTCAGAAATGTCACATCTAACTTTTTCTGTTATAGTGAAAAGTTCTCAGAAAATGTCACATCTCAGCTCGAATTGAAAACTCAAATTCGCGAAGTGAACGAGGCCTAAGTATTAATCTAATAAACTTCTAAACCGTTGCCATGTAGCTTAAATTGATTTGGCTGTTTAAATTTGTGGCCGGAAAAAGAGGTTGTCTGTTAAAATTAAAAGGTCAAAAGGAAATTTACCGACCGCACGAAATGTTCAGAGGATAAAATACCAAAAATTTGAGTTGCAATTGCGGTTATCAATTAAATAGTGTAATCTATTTAGATCAAATTGCAACTGTATGAAAAATTTAGGAGGTTAACTATCAAGATTCAAAGTTTATGCAGCAGCAATTCACCGAAAGAAGAAAAGTGGCAAAAATAAAAAATATTTTATGGGTAAAAACAATTTTAACTTGTATATATTATAGAAGAACCCTATAATGAAAAATAAAAATAGTTTTAACTCCGAAAAAATTTTAATCTGTATATTGTAATAAAATGTATTTTATGCTCTTTTTTTCCCCTTCTCTTTACTAGACAAACTTATATCATTAAAAGACCACATTATTATATAATAGACAAAGGTGATATTATTATGATAATTATTATGCCATTTTTTATTATTTTTGTAATATTAAAATTTAACTTAAAATATAAATTCTTCCATGTAGTGTAATTATCTCAAAATAAATAAATACACAAGCAACTAAAATTGGGTGAAAAGCAAAGGCCTTTTTTTTGCACTGTTTAATAATAGTATATATCAATATATGTAGCCCTTCGGACACCAAAGGGGTTATCTTTGGACTTTTTTGAGGGGCTTTCCAATACTCCAAAGGGTAGCTCAAAAAGGATACAGAAAATTAACAAAAGTCCTAAGAAAAGAAAAAGAAAAAGAAAACAAAAGAAGTGAGCGGAAAAAGAAAAGAAAAGAAAAGAAAAAAACAAAAGAAGTAATGACGTAAAATTGGGCCAGGTCTTCCAATATATTTGAGAAAAAGTCGGTGGTGATAATCATCATCTTTCCTTCACTAGCACAAAAAATATCTCTGTCCATTCTGTTTTCTGGTTTATTGAAGTCAAAAAAAAAAAAAAAAAAGTTGTTAGTTAGTTAGTTTGTTTGTTGGAAGTTAATGTTTTGAGCAAATAGTTGCTGTTTCCGAGATTAAGACAAGTTGATTGTGAAAGCAGAGGATGTCACTAGACTGTATATAAAGACTTCTAGTTTATTGATTTACTCATTTAACCTTCCTTTGGACATTGCAATAAAATTTCGTTGCAACGGCTAAGTCCATTTATGTTGTCACTTTTGTCGAAGAAAAAAGGGCGGTGGGAAAGAAAAACGCACAAGAATTTGTTTGCCTTGGAGCCGGCCCAACCTGTTGGAATTTGGACCATGGTTGGTTTTCTGGGCCTGATGAATTCCTAATTTTTTGAGAAATTTACTGAATTTATCCTTAAAATGCATGAATCTTGATTTTTACATCTTATTTTTTATTAATTTCTTTTTAGTTAATATAAATTTTTTAATTAAAAAAATATTAATAAAAAATAAAGAGTAAAAATCTAGACCCATCACATTTTCCTTAGTTTTTCATCTCATAAGACTGATGAAATATAGTTCATGTAGGCACATCACTCAACAGGTCGGACCTATATGTATAGTCCAAGTAGGCACAACTCTGTGCTACACTTCTTTCTAGTACTCTCACTGAAGTGCCATACTAATTTTAACACTCTTAAAATTTTATCATAAATTTTTATGACATCTTGTTGTGAACTCTATGATTGTTATGTGTTTTATGATTTTCTCATGATAATTAAGGGAATTTAGATATCCTAAACTCATGCGTCATCCAATAAAATTATCGTCCAAGAGTAATTTTATCCGAAATATGTTAATTGGAGCAAAATTAGTAAATTAAATTCCGAATGAAATTTCTAATATCAGATTCTTAATCGAAGCATCGAAATTAGTCAAGAGTGTAACTTTTATAAGGATTTCATTTCAGGGCTAAATTTACAATTTTGGCAAAAAATAGAATCAAAACATAATTTTGAAAAATATGAGACAAAAAATGCGGTTACAAAAAATATGTGGGTTAAAACATAAAAGTTGATGGGGTTTTTAAAAGTTTCTGAATGGTTGTTTAGGAATCGCCATACACCACAACCAATAAAAATTTAGTTGGGTTAAAAATAAAATAAAATAATAAAAAAAAGAGTATATCGATTATTTCAAAACATATCAAACTCATTCTCTCCTTCTTGTTTTCATGCTTTCTCCCTCACTCGCTTTTTCAGAAAAATAAAGAATTATGTAACTATGTAGAGGAGTCATAGAGAACCCACCAAATACATTCAAAACTCTAATTTTTTTTTTTATCAAAATCTTTCTTCTAACTCATAATACTAACAATTAAGTATTAGCATGATAAGACCATGTTAAATGAGAACATGATAAGACCATGTTGATTTAAAGTATGTATGTTTCTTAGTTAGATTTAACTAGGATTATGTTAAATGGGAACATGTGATTAATATTGTAATTATGTTGTTTCTTAATCTCTTCTTGATTGTTGTGAACCCCTAATAAGAAGGTAAATATGGGTACGCTAGATTATTAGAGGTAGTTATGAGTTTTAGATTTTAGTTACTATCAACGTGTTATTCTTGTTTAAATCCTATGCACGATTGTGCTTATGCGAGTACATAACTGCTTGAAAAAGCTTCGGTTTACGATAACAAGTTGATTAAGATTTATGATATGGTATCTTTATGGCAATGGTATGTTAGGATTAAGACTTATGATTATGATTATTGTATGTTAAGATTATAATTTTGATGTCATATAATTATGATTATGATACATTAAGATTATGATTCTCATACGTTTGAATATGACTTATAAAGGTCAAAGTAATAGTCAATGGATAACATGAATATTTAATATGACGAGTTTATGGGTATTGGAGTATAATTCACTCTTCTATGAAACATATTAGGATACGAAGTATGTTATATTATGATTACTTATCGGTCGGTAAAAATTATGAATTATAAAACTATGTATGTCGAGAAAAATTATGATGAATTGAATTAGGTATTCGAATTAATATTGCTTATATCTACATTTACGTTCACGTCTCTTTTCTGTTAAGGAATTATTGTGTTGCATTATATCCCTATTTAGAGTAGTTAGTCTACTCGCTTATTGAGCTTTCTAGCTCACTAGGATTCCTTGTGTTGTAGGAAAAGGGAAAGAAAAATGTTAAGATAGAAGCTCAGTGATCGGGGAAGCGAATTGAAGTGAATACACATATGTGATAAGACTTGTAGTAGCCAAACTATGGTTTTTGAGAATTGGCCTTATGGCTTCAATACGATTTCCATAAAATTATGTTTTTAATTAAAGAATCCCTTTCAAGCACCTTTTGTCCTTGTAAGTTTTAGAATTTCCGTGTTTTGATTAAGGATTTGTAAGCTTTTAAAAGTTTAAATATTATGCATTATTATGACTATGTTATGTTTGTATGCAAAAATAAAAAATATGATATGATATGTATGTATGTACGTTATGTTTTTCCATCACGATCCATCTCCGTCCTAATATAGTAGGTGGCTGGCGGCGAGTCATGACACTAATCATCATATGTTATCATGCTCCTTTTCATTTCTTACTCTTTTTTTCTTTTTCTTTTATTTCTTTCTTTTATACTTAGAATCTTAGGGATATTGCGTCGACTTAGTCTCTGTAGGTCTAGTTAAAATTGGCTTAATGATTTTTTTACTTGAGATTTTAATATTCTATGACGATTAATCGCGTATTAGTTACGGGTGTTCTTTGGTGACCTATGACACCTCAACTAATTATTCTATGCCTTATCATTCTCTTACTATACACTCTTTTATACTTTAATTCACACTCTTCCAATCACATGAAATAAACTAAAGAATGATAAAATCATTGTATATAGATATAATTTTCTCATTTCAAACATAGCATGCTTTATTATTCTCAATTCAAATTAAGTATGTTGTTATGAAATTTTATAAGGGTGTGAATCAAATAAAAAATTTGAACTAAATTACATCACAATAATTTTTTTTAGTTTTATTTATCTATTTGTATCTTTAATTTCTTTTTTGCTAAATGAACTAAGCTTGTAAATAAGTGCAATATTAATTGTTAATGATAATATTAATAATACTAACAATAATAATATTATTATTGTAATACGTCACATAAATTTTTTTTTTCATAAAAATCTAAGGCTAATTGTTGTGTGGGAAAATGTGAAGGACACGTAAAAGAACGATAATATGACACGTAGCCTTAACTACTCCCCGCAAAGCAACAACCCTCGACGTCTCGGGCTCCCTCCGATTCCGTTATAAAGAACCCAAGTGAAAAGTCCAACTTAGGGCGTCGATTCCTCCTGGCGTCAACAGATCGTACCGTCGACCTTAGGATATAGAAATCCCTCGACGGTGTAACCAACAGCCAAGAAGGACAGTTGGGTTAAGCAACACTGGCGACGAGGGGAATGCTCTTTGGGGAAAGGTCTGACGTGGCAGATTGCATACAAAAGTGGGGGATGACTGCAAGGCAGGCATTTATTGCGAACCCTTAAACCGCCCCACAGG